TTTTTTATTTTCTCTTTTTTCTTTTTCTCTTTCTCTTTTTTCTTTTTTTCTTTTTCTCTTTTTTTATTTTCTCTTTTTTTCTTTTTCTTTCTCTTTTTTCTTTTTCTCTTTTCTCTTTTTTCTTTTTCCCTTTTTCTCTTTGTTTTTCTTTTTTTTTTTCTCTCTTTCTCCTTTCCCTCCCCTCTCTTTTCCTCAAGCAACACCTCATGGGACACCATCGTCTTTACATGCCCAGCACATGATACAAAAGCAATAACTAACCCTACCCAAATAAAAAACAACCAAGAAATCACATCTGGTGGTTTTTGGCTGAGGAACTGGACGTGTGACACAGGTACAGCCCTGCTCTCCTGCTTTGCTAAGGGCAAATGTTCCTGTGCTGCCCTTTAGAAGGTTGTTCACCAGGCAGAGAACAGAAATCAGAGTTTAAAAAGCAGTTTTACAGAAGGGGAGAACAGGAATGTGAATTCAGAGACACTGTTTGGTTCAGGCAGGTGTCAGCTCCAAAACCTGGCCTTTACAAACATCTCCTTTTGGCCACCAACAGCCCCTGGAAATTAAAACCTGATGTGGTTATATTTAGTGCTGCAACATCCAGAAGAGACTTCTAAATGTCAAATATACCAAAGACTAAATTATATTGAAGCCTGTTGAAGTGTCCTGAAGTTTTTTAAGGGATTTATTTTAATAACTGCAGGCTGACTCGATAAAAAATGTGATATTATTGTTTAACTTGTGAAGGGAAAATGCAAGTTAAAAACAAGTTTTGTGATACAGATATCAACAACTGGAAATAATCTGGAAGAAATCCTTCCCTGGGAGGGTGGGGAGGCCCTGGCATGGGTTGCCCAGAGAAGCTGTGGCTGCTCCTGGATCCCTGGGAGTGTCCAAGGCCAGGCTGGACAGGGCTTGGAGCAACCTGGGCTAGTGAAAAGTGTCCCTGCCCATGGCAGGGGGTGGAATTAGTTGATCTTTAAGGCCCTTTCCAACCCAAAGCATTCCAGGATTCTCTGAAGGTCAGAAACAGAACTGATGGATGGCAATAATTTGTGGTTTATATTCTCTTCTTAACCTTTCTGGATTTCTGGTACCTGTTCCACAAGTACAAGTTACTAAACCTTGGATTAAAAGGCTTAATTAGGGGGATTAAAACCCCCCCAACAAAATGCCCCAAACCCAAACCCTGCCCACTCCTCTCATCTTTTATCCTTCCAGGTTGTGCTGCACCAAATCTCCACAACTGGCAGGGAAAGGCCTTAAAGGAACTCCTGACAGGACCTGGAAAGCAAAGGTCTAATTAAGAGGAAATAGGGATTTTGAAGAGGCAAAGTGTGCCCAAGAGGCAAGCAAACCCTTAAACCAAAGGCAGAGAGAAAAGGGAAAACATTCCATAGGAAGGTGACTTAATTCAACCTAAATGTGCAGCCCTTAACACACCCACATTCTGGGCAAATGGAAAAATAAAACTACAACGAATAAATCACAAGGAGGAGCCCAGAGTGAAAGGGGAATGAAGGAGGTGATTATCTGAAAACACAGAATATCCCAGGAATTCCTCCAGGCTCTGTGGACCCTCCTGGGTCAGCCCTGGTCATGAGTGAGAGCATAAAGAGCCTCAAGGCTCGAGGGGGTTCAGAGGGAAGGGCTGAGATGCCAAAAGAAAGCAGAAATATTAGAAGGAAATTAAATATTGAAAGGAAATATTAAAAGGAAAGCAGAAATAAAAAAGGAAATATGCTAAAATCATCAAGTATAAACCACACAGGCAGTTTTATAACCATAAATATCACGTAAAAAAAAAGCTTTGTGACTTCAAAAAGGCCTCTCTGCAGTGTCAAGAAAAGGTGTGTGTTGCCAGCCCTGCCTGTTCCCACTGGGATGGGTCCTTTCAGGCTGGGCTTTGTGGTTGCCCAGAGAAGCTGTGGCTGCCCCTGGATCCCTGGAAGTGTCCAAGGCCAGGTTGGACGGGGCTTGGAGCAACCTGGGCTAGGGGAAGGTGTCCCTGCCCATGGCAGGGAGTGGAATGAGATGAGCTTTGAGGTCCCTCCCAACCCAAAGCACTTTATGATTCCAAGCAAGTCCAGTGGGACCAGGGTGAGACCTGGTCAATAATCTGGGAAATGAGACCTTGCCAATAATCTGGGAAATGAGACCTGGCCAATAATCTGGGAAATGAGACCTTCCAAGAGCCCAAGAGCTACAACAAGGAGCTGGGGGAGGACATTCCTGAGCATCTGACACACTGAAGCCTGGCCACATAAAAGGTTGGACTTGATGATCTCAGAGGTTGGACTTGATGATCCTGGAGGACTTTTCCAACCTTAATGACTCATTAAGAAATGCTTCCCTCTCTTTAATCCACTGCCTAAAGCTGTCTGGTTCAGCTTCTGACAGGACAAATCTAAAACATCCACTTTGGGAATGGTTCCTCCCTCCAGCAGACTGAACTGGGCTCTCTTTGCAAGCTGCCAGGACAGAGCAATGGCCAGGGGATGTTTCTGTGGAAGATGAGAACATTCAGAGGCTGAAGGTCAGGGTTAGTCTCAAAATGTCAGTCTAAAGTCTCAGGCAAACTAAGAAGGGAACAAAGACCAGAACCACAGTTGTCTTCCCTGTACCTTCATTTCTCCTCATCCCTCTCCTCCCCTTTCTTTCTGTTCCCCTTCTCCAGCTTCCAGTGCCTTCTCCCCACACTCTCACCACGTTGGCTGGGATTAGTTCCCTGTGGAATTACATTTCTGAGGTGTGGAGCCCAGTTTTCTCTCTCTGACCACAGTCTGACAAACACTTTAAGTGGGGATGAGCTGGCTTTGCTGCTGCTCTGACCCGGTGTGACTGCAGGGTGAACCACCCCAGGAATCTAGAGGAAGGCTGGATTGCATCCAACCACTATCCCAAGTGCCCTGGACATCAGGCTGGGACAAAGGAAAGGCCAGCACAGGAAAAGGAATAAGCCCAAAAGGTGAGGAGAAAGCACAGCTGATTGTTCCAGTGCAAAGTCAGGCACCTGCTGAACTGCTCATATCAAAATCCTCCTATTGCTCTAAACAATCCACAGCATTTTAGTTCATTACTAATTCACTAATGACCAAATTTCTTTGGTGAACTGGACTTTACACTCCTCTGGGAAAGCCACTGCTGGATGCAGAGAGTGACTCCTGCCTGAGATCCTCCTTTGTTCTCAAAGCTGCAGCCACACACTGAACCTCCCTCCAGCACCGGATCCACGGAACTCTCCCCGTGGGAGCTGAGGGTTGGGAACACTCCTGTGGAGGCTGCAGCTCCACTGCCTCCAAAATTATAGCTGGAAACGGGGTAGAACTGAGACTGCCCCAGGGACCATTCCTTTTGTTCCTGGTTTGTTTGCAAGGAATCAAAATCTGAGCTCTCCTCACCGGATTTTAGTGAGGTTTCTGCACAGAGGGGAGGTGGAGGGAAATCCCGCTGAGGCAAATTGTATGTGGCTGAAGAGAAATGAAGCAGTTTAAAAATATCTGTTAAAACTGGCTGTTTAAATCTCTTTTAACAGTCAAACAACACTGGACAGGCCAGGCCAAACCTTTCCTGTGCTGCTGGATGTGACTGATGCAGGGAGAGGCTGGAACTTTTAACCTCAGCACAACTTTCACTGGCTCCTCGTGGCATTTTAGGGAATATTTAGGATGGATGAAACAGAGAAGGAAAATAGCCCTTAAGGCAAAGTGTCTGCAGGTGAACAGTGCAAACAGAGCTACAGAAAACCAGGGGTTAAAACCCACCAAGAGGCACAGGGAGTGTGGGAATGGGGACAGGGAGCAGCACTCGCTGTGGCAGCACTAGAGGGTGCCCCACGATCACAGAGCTCCCTTTGCCTCCTCCACTCAGCCCAGGTTTCCCAAATCCTCCAGCAGGAAGTTACATAAACAGTGGGATAACAAGATGAACTTCTGCTCTCCTCCTGCACTGCCAGATGTCTGCCCTGGCAGCAGAACTGGAACAGCTCGTTAAATCAGCAGAGAATCTGATTAAAAAAGTGACTGTTGCTCTGTGGATTTAGTTTGCTGAACCAACTTGGTAAAGTCATTTCCTCTGCTGAACCAACTGGGTAAAGGAGTGACCCAGTCACTTCTTCAGAAGTGACTGGGTCACTCCTTTACCCAGTTGGTTCAGCAAACTAAACCCAGAGTGACTGAAGAAGAGAAGACTCTCTCAGCTCCTCTCTAATTCTCTGATTTGGGTGTTGAGTGATGGGTGGAGCAGTGACAGACCATCCAAGTGTTAAAAGTTTCAGCACATCTGATTTCAAACACAACTGGCCAAACACTTTGGTCAGGCTCAGATCTTTCTTTCTTCTCCTTAAAGAGTCTTGATCCTTTCATCACTTGATCTTTGATCCATGACAAAGATGCCTTCATTCCACTGTGGACAGAGGACACACCAGGAGCAGCTGAGGAGCTGCACTGGCAGGTTCCCAGTGGTCTCTGTAACATTTTTTACGTGACAAAGTGAGAAGGTGCCAAATTTTCTCTCTTTTCAACCTGTCAGATCCCATTACAACAGGAGCACGAATTCCTGACTTCAACACATTTGTTCAGATGGCTGCAGGAAACAAAGGGAAGGGGAAGGAGGTGGTGTCCACATCTTAATGGACACCAGGCTGTGAGCCAGTGGGAAAAAATGAAGGAGTGCTGGATTTCTACCCTAAACATCTCACAGAAAATGGAGATGAACTTCACTGAGCTGTGAAATGCATATCTGGAATTCCTTCACACACAAGATGAGCAGTTGTCCCATTCAGCCAGTGAAAACAGGGATCTAAGAGCCCCTTTCCTGCAGACACTGTGCTCAGCACCTGCACACACCCAGCTCTCCCAGCCCCCTCAGAACTGCTGAACGAAGCTCTCACCTTCTTCAAAGTCAACACCAGAAACTCTTCCAGGCTGCTCAAGGCTGTTTTCTGACTGGGGCTACATTTTACATCTCCACTGCCCCAGGTTCTGACAATTATCACATGCCTGATCTTTCACAGGCTTCAGTGAAGCTGATGTTTTATTTCAGCTCCTCATTAGCAGCAGCTCTCAGTGGCTGAGGGTGAAAGGAGAGAGTTTGCAGTGGGCTGTCAGAGAGCAGCTTTACTTACTCTGTTGTTTTGTACACGTCAGAGTAGAGCCCTGCCTTCTGGTACTTCTTCTTTGGGGGTCGAGGGGCTTTCTTCTCCCGCTGGGGCAGAGCAGGCAAAGGCTGCTCAGGGTTCTCAGGCTCAGGTGGTTTCCCAAGGGCATCGTGTGGACTGGGAGCTTCAGCTACTGGCTCAGAAAAACTGGAAGGAAAAAGTAAAGATTAAAGGTTACCCTGCCATAAAGATTCTCTCACCAGATTTCATTATTCCTCTCTGTTGTCTGCTCAGCAGAAAAAGTCTCTGAATTAACAGTTAATTCAACAGTTTCAGCTATTTAAAAGAAATGCAACTCAAGGACCATGATCAAGTGGGGGGTTAAGCATAATCTGAAGAAATGCACAATATTTTTGTAGTAACATTATTAGTTATTACAAAAAGAATGTTGTTTGTACTGCTAATGTTTATCCCTTGGAGCCTCAGTTGAGTAATTCAGAAGGCAGCTCATGCTCTCTGCCTCTGGACTCTAAAAATAGTGTGTGGTAACCCTTTCCTTGGCCTTCAGGAGAGTCACAGAGCAGCCCCTGAACCCATTTCTGGAAAGGAAAACTTCTGACAGAGTTTGATCTATTTTTTGATGACTCTGGGGACGAGCATGAGAAGATTAGATCAGAGAGGGATTCCTGGTGTGGTCCTTTGCTAGAGACTGCAGAGATGCACCCCTCACCTCCTCCTTGCTGCCTTGGCTTTACTCTTCACTCTGTGCACCAAGTGATCTCACCTCACACCCTGTGTTTGGCTGTGATCTACACAGGTAACACTCCAGAGCTCCCACAACTCTTTAGAGTTCCTTACTCCACACAGGAGGAAGGAACAACCTGTGGACCTCAGCAGTGACCCTGTCACCAACTCATCAAACTTACCCTTCACCAACACAACCAAGAACTTGCTTCACTTGAGCCACTGGCACAGAACCAACAGTTTTAGGTCCCCAGAGACCCCATCCTGTGTTGGGGTGTGTTCAGTGCCTGAGGAAGGCCTGGAGCACACTAAAACACGTTGATTCCCTCTAAACTGAGCTCCTTAGTAAAAGCAGATCGTGACACGTGTTTGGTGAGATCCAGAGGAATCCCTGAGCAGAGGGTTCCCTCACGGACTGAAATGTCACAAAATCAACAAGGGGACAAAACTGCAAGGGAATCACCTCTTATTGCTCTCCTGTTCATCCTCAGGCAAAGACTTGTGCCTCTTCCTGGCCTGTTCCTCCGGCAGCCACCTCTTCCTCTTCCAGCCCTTGCGGTGCTCGGGGTTCAGGTTCACGCTCTGCACCACGGCCTCGATGACGTCCGTGATGGTGTCAGGGCCCAGGTGCAGGGGGCTGCTGCTGGGCTCCCTGTTCTCCAGCTCCTGGCTGACCAGCCTGTGGGCCTGGAAGGCCTGCATGGACACCACGGCCTGCAGCGGGTACTTCCTCGGCCGCCCCGGCCGCCGCTTCACGAAGTTGTTCCCGGTCCGCGACTGCCTCTGCAGCTTTTTGGCCTTCAGGATCTTATTGACGTGGTCCAGATTTTTTTTTGTGGCCAGGATCTTGTTGTAATTGCACATTTTCCTCGCTTGGCGCTGCATGGCCTCCACCACGCTCCTCTTGAGGTGCCTGGGGGAGTAGCTGCCGGGCAGCCGCTCCGACAGGAGGGAGATGCTGTCGCTGCAGGAGCTGCTGGGAATGGCCGGAGCCACCAGGTTGTCCTGCTTGCCCAGAGCTCTCTCCCTGGAGTGGTTCCGAGCGGGGCTGGCTGAGGGGGGCACGTTGGCCATCACGGCTTCCAGGGTCTTGTCCAGCACGGGCGGGCCCTCCTGTGCCATGCGCTGGAGCAGAGAGTCCACCGAGTCCTCGGCAACGCGGGCGCTCCGGGCTGGCACCGACATCCCTGGAACACAGACACAGCCTGAGGCAAAGCTGGGCTGGGACTGGGAAGAGTCAGAACTGAAACACGTGAACTCAATGAACCCACAGCGTCCCGTGCCCTGGCACTGCCCAGAACGTTCCGCGGCAAGACACCGATTTCCATCCGTGACCCAGCTCCTTCCAGAGGGAAGGAGACACTTCACATCATCAGTTCAGTTTTAACATGAACAATTATCAGCAATGATTTCCTCTTTATTCACACTCAGCCCCTTCCAAGAACAAAAAGTAGTGAGGGTTCACACACTCCAGAACTCAAGTTTCCTTCTATTCAACACTAAAAGTGTCTCTGCACATAAAAATTCAACCCTGATAAAAAACTGCGGAACATCTTAAATGTTTTTAAACCACTTTTCCTGTTTTGGTTTTTTTTTTTAATGGTTTGGAAGCATTGAAACAACTTTTTCATTGCTGTTGCAGGTTTTTTATCAAAAATACAAGCCTAATGAAGACAGAACTGATTGGATAAGGGTAAATCAAAATATCTGGACAAAAGAGAAAGGCTAATCTACGAAGGAAGTAAATTTAGATCTCACTTTTAAAACTGTTATATGCTTTAGAGCTGCAGACTGGTGTTTGAAAAAGAGAATTTCCAGGTCAACCATGTAGATTATGCTGCATTAAAAAAGGGATTTGTTCCAAACTCAGAGCTTCCCAAAGCTGCCCTGCTGCTCCTCAGTGATAACATTCCATCAGAAGAAACCCTGCTCTTCCTGGAATGAAATGGATGCTGCCTCCTCATAAATACATCACAACTGCACATTAGCACTGACAAAACGTTACAGTAATTGTGGCCAATTATTTAGATCAGATCTGCTTAACCCAGCGGGGCCCAGGCTGGAGCCTGAGCAGTCTGGTGTCAAGGGAACTGTCACAGGGAAGAGCACAAAGTGCTCTGGGAAGGGTTCTACGTTTGACAGAAGGGAGATTATTTGTGAGTTGACAGAGACAAAGCACAACCAGCTTAAATGTTTTCCAGCCCCAGGGCTCGCCAGTCCCAGGGTGCTGCTCTGGAGAAATGGAATCCTCACTGTGATCCCAAAGCCAGGGATTTTAAGTGCAGAAAAGAAGGTGCTTCAGAGAGCTTGGGGGAGGAAGAGTCAGCAAAGCACGTTTCAAAAATCCCCCTCTGACCAACGTCCCTCCTGGTGACAAAGGACAAGAGAGGCCTCCTGTGAGCTCTGACTGTGAGCACCTGCACAGCCCCAACAGCTCCAAAACAACCCAGAGTTACACTTCCAGCTTTCCATTTCGGATGAAACAACCAAGATAAATCACCCTTTGCTTTCTTGTGGCCTTTAGAGGCACGTGGGGGGCTCCTCACAGAACCCACCCGCCAGCACAGTAACCCTCCCCCAGCCTGCTGGGTGTCCTGGAGCCAGAGCTGCTGCTTGGGAACGGCTCCAAAGGGATGGGACACTCGAGGCTCCCATCCCAGGGCCAGCTGCAGCCCTCTGACAAACACCCTGAAATCCCACACGCATTCCAGAGCCACGGAAAATACAACAATGGCCGGTCCTTTGAGCTGCATCATCGGCTCTGGAGCTGATAAACGTGTGATTCATGTCATTCCAATGCTCCTGCACAAAACACTCCCGAGCTTTTAACACTTCCCATTCCCGGAGTTACACTGAGGCAGCTCCCCTTTCCAGTGAGTGAGAAGAAGGTGGATGAGCCAGAGGAAAAGGGGAGATCCCTTCCCCACTGCTGAGGATTTTGCAGCCTGTGCTGAATGCAGCACCAGCTGCAAACATCTGCTTAAAGGGGGGGGGAAACAGTTTTGGCACATTCTTGCAGGATGGAAATCCCAACTGTCCTGGAAGTACCAATCCCAAGGATTCACCACATTTTGCAGTCACCTTGGGTATCTAAGGATGTCTGAATTCTGCTATCAGGAGGGTTTCTACAACTGGGCTTCTTACAAAACGGGTCAACACGCTGGATGTCCCTCTGTCCAACCTCAGGGAAGCTCCCATTCCATCTTTACAGAATCCCAGAACAGTTTGGGTTGGAAGGGACCTTAACTCTCAGGGATGGTCCTGTGCAGGGCTAAGGGTTGGACTTTGTGATCATTATGGGTCCCTTCCAACTCAGCATATTCTGGGATTCTGTGATCTCATCCCACCCCCTGCAATGGGCAGGGACTTCTTCCCCTGCCCATGGAAAGAGAGGAATCTTGCCAGTCTTTCCTGTCAGGGTCTGGTTCATCACACATTTCACAGCTGCATGGTAACATGCAGGAAATGAAGGTTTTCAGATCTTCCCTGTCACAGCTTGGTCCATAAATGTGACATTGTCCCAGGGGTGAAAATGTGACCAACAGGAACACACACACGTTCACACACAGGTGAGCTCCTTACAAAAGTGAGCCCAAATACACAGAATCATGGAATCATGGAATTGTTCAGGTTGGAAAAGACCTCCAAGACCATCCAGTCCAATCTTTGTCCCATCCCCACCTTGTCCCCCAGCCCAGAGCATTCAGTGCCACGTCCACTCCTTCCTTGGACACCTCCAGGGGTGGAGATTCAAAACCTCCCTGGAGCCCATTCCAATCCTTAACAACCATTTCCAGCAAGAAATTCCTCTTCATGTCCAACCTGACCCTCCCCTGGCACAGCTTGAGGCTGTTCCCTCTCATCTCATCTCTTGTTCCCTGGGAGCAGAGCCTGACACCCCCCCAGTTCCCCCCTCCTGTCAGGGAGTTGCAGAGCCAAAAGGTCCCCCCTGAGCCTCCTTTTCTCCAGGCTGAGCCCCCCCAGCTCCCTCAGCTGCTCCTGGTGCTCCAGCCCCTTCCCCAGCTCCATTACCCCATCAGGAGGGAGAACCTTTCCCTTCCTCATGATCCTCAAGCAGTGACGTGCAGGGAACGTCATCCCAGGGCTGAGGAAGCTGTTCCACATCCTGCTGCTCAAATCTGCTCAGCTGCCCCAGGACTCTGCACCCCACACCCTTCCTCACTTGATGAACCTGCTGAGGTGCTCCCAGAGCTCCTGTCAGCACTTCCATCCCTCTCCCAGGATCATTCCTGACCTGCCTGGGGGTGTGCACAGCTGTATCATCAGGGATAACGGGATGAGCAGCGTGTCATCCTCCATCACCTTGGCAGGATTCCCACCGGTGAGGAGGGAAACCCAACAGCACAGCCCTGACCCTGCCAGGGCAGAAACCCTCCAGAGCAGCACAGGAGTCAGGCTCTTCCCCAGGAATTAATCCATTCCTCTAATTCATGGATTAACTGCAATGTCACAGGTCTTGAGAACATTAAAGCCCTGAGCTTCACCCTGGTGAGGAACCAAACCCCTCCCTGCCGTAGCTGTGCTGCCTCTTCTCAAGTCTCCCTGTCCTACACCCAATCCACAGCACTCGTATCCCAAAATACCAGCGGAAAACCCCGTTCTCTCCACGAGCTGAAGTTCTCACAGTGATGCTGTGCCCAGTAAGGTCTGAGCTCAGCACTGACCCCAACCCAAGGCCCCTGAGCACGACTTGCCTGGAGAAGACGTGCTCTCCGACGTGGATCTCTTCCTGGAAGGGCTGCAGCTTGTGCTCTCCGACGGCCTCTGCGAGGGTTTGTCCTGGGCTGGCAAAGTGCCTGAGGGACAGAGCAGGGAGAAGCACAGACACCATCAGCTCACTCTGAATATTCCAACTGAGGTGGCTCTGAGGTTTGGCTTTGGGAACACTTCTGTGCCTGCTGAACACAGGGGAAGGGTGGAAAAGGAGCACCAAGAGGGAATTCCTCACAGGCAGGGCAGTGAACAAGCCAGGAGTAAAACCAGGTAATAACTTCAGCATCAGTTTTTATGGGAAAGAAAAGAGAAAACCTTCACACCCCTACTTTCAAATGAACCCCATGGCTTCATTCCTTGATTTTCCTTTTTTTTTCAGGGAAGAGTTTGGAAAGGAACCCTGTGGATTATCTATACCAACCACTCTGCTCAAAGCAGGGTCAGCTAGAGCAGGTTGTTCAGGGCCACCATGTGGGGTTTCCCACATCTCCAAGGGATTCCACAACCCTCACCCTCACTGTGAACACTGTTCTCTTCTGTGCCAACAGAATTCCCTGAACTTCATCCCGTTCCCTGTGCCCCTCTCCTGCCACTGGGCACCACCAGCACCAGTGTGGCTCCTTCTTCTTCGTTCCCTCCCATCCAGCACATGGACACACTGGGAAGAGCTCCCTCTGCATCCTCTGTTCCAGGCTGGCCAATCCCAGCTCTCCCAGTCTCCCTAATGACCAATTCCAGCTCTCCCAGCCTCTCTGGATAAATGATCCCAACCCTCCCAGTTCTCTGATGACCAATCCCAGCTCTCTCAGCCTCTCTGGATGAATGATCCCAGCTCTCCCAATCTCTCTGGATAAATGATCCCAGCTCTCCCAGCCTCTCTGGATAAATGATCCCAACTCTCCCAGCTCTCGGATGACCAATTCCTGCTCTCCCAGCTCTCTGGATGAATGATCCCAGCTCTTCCAGCTCTCTGATGACCAATCCCAGCTCTCCCAGCCTCTCTGGATAAATGATCCCAATCCTCCCAGCTCTCTGATGATCGATCCCAGCTCTCCCAGCCTTCCTGGATGACACAGTCTCCAATCCCCTGGTTGTCTCTGTGGCTCTCCACCAGACTCACTGCAGTATTTCCACGCCTCTCTTGGACTGGGGATCCCAGAGCCATTCCAGATGTGGCCTCTCCAGGGCAGAGCAGTGGGAATAACATCCTCCTTGACCTGCTGGAGGTGCTCTCCAAAACCCAGCTCACGATGCTTTTAAAATTTTTAACATTTTAAAATTCTTTAGATTTGTCCCTTGTTATTGCTGCTTTTCCTCCTCGAGATCCCATCACGTAAAAACCCCAAATATTCCTGTTTCACATTAAAACCCCAAATATTCCTGTTTCACGTAAAAACCCCAAATATTTCTGTGTCAGTGCATCACAGCAGAGCTGTGAAAGCCCCAGGGCCTAAACAAGTGAGGATGATGATTATCTGCACACAAACCAGCACTGCATTGGAGGCACCTGCAGAACACGTTTCCCTCTGTGTTCTGCCTGCACAGGGCTTGCTGTTACTTGCCAAATCCCTGGATGATGCCATGGGGCAGCAGGAAGCACAGTTACCATTATTTGAGTTAAACCCATTTTTAGAAAGCTACAGAAGCCTCACAACTGCTGCAGGGTGAGGGGACAAGGCTGGTCACGGCAGCTTGGAGCAAAGACCTATTCCTGTCCCCCTTCTTACACACCAATATTTTCTTACTGTAACTTGTTGTGTTTTCCCAAGCTTTAAAGAATCCCAATTACTCTCGAAAGCAAAGGCTGTGGGAGTTGTTAAAATGCCACAGAAAAACCTGTGTGTTGCAATTATGAAAATGCCGAGACATTAAAAATTCAGAGGTTTGCATGAAAGCCCGGGGAAAGCACAAATGCACGTGGCAGCACGTGAGGAGAATGTGCAGGTCCTGCAAACATCCAGGAGTCACCAAATCCAGGATGCAGCAGGACAGAGTTTTGTTGTTCCCCTTCAGAACACGGTTTGTGATGAACAAGCTCAGTGCTGCCTGTTTGGTTCTGAGCTCCTCCCTCCCTTCCTCCCAAACTCCACCAAAAGGAGACAGGGGGACACTGAAGTTCTGCCCAAACTCAAGGCCTGAAAGTCCCCTGAAATTCCTTTCAGGGCAAGGAATCCTGAAATTCCCTGCCCTTGTCCACAGGCCTCAATGCCCCAAGAGAGACCCTGAGGGTGTGCAACAATGGGAAAATCCAAAATCCCTGAATGCACCAAACTGATTCACCAGAATCTCTGGGAAATCTCCTCTGAGATCCTGTCTTGCCTCAAAGTTTGGAATTTTTGTGATCCTGGGCACTCTCAGCTCCTGTGAGGGGCTCCATTGGTGGAGGGAATGAACAACAGCACTTTTTTCCAAGGATTCCAACCCCTCAACAGGGCAGAGGGATGGTTTCCCATTCCATTAATTCTTCTCAACAAGGGCACCATCACAAGGCTCCTGTTATTATTATTATTATTATTATTATTAT